TACCAAATGAGACCCTACCAAATGAGACCCTACCAAATGAGACCCTACCAAATGAGACCCTACGATCCAGAGTGGCTCTCCCGTGTATCTATTTTTAGGATAAATACATGACATTTAAATCAACAGCTGTCTTTTTTGTAGAACCATGCCACGCTATGGGTGTGGTCGGGGCCTGCTGCTTGGGGGCACGGCCTATTTAATGCAGTCACGTGATGCGAAGGCATGAGCTGGTTCCGACTTGAACCTAATAAATGCCTGTCACGGAAGCCAAGCGGTTCACTTTGAGATGGTACAGCTCGGGGCTGCTGCAGAAATGCGGGTGTGCGGGGTTGTGTTTCCTGGTCCAATCGATGCACCTTTGGCCGACCTACCCATTATAGAATGAGATGATAAATTCTGGTAATATTAGAGGAAAGCGAGGATTTGCGGTTTCCGTGTGATGCCATGTCTCGGCTCAATTTGAATTGTAAATCTGTTGAGCTCCATACGAAATTGGGAGATGTTGACTGAGAAGCATGGTGGCTAGTTCATGATCCCGGATATCGCAATCCACGCTGTCGTTCGACAGGCTCTCCTCTATGAACCAGGTCTTCTTTTGATAATCAACTCTTTTCGTGTTTTGACGTTTCTTGTACTTTTAGCCCTTAATTATAGTCCATTCTGAGAACTTAAACATCATTTTCAAACATCCTGTAAAATAGGACTATTTTTAAAATTGAGCTGTCGTACTCTCTTGGTATTAGACCACCATGAGAATACAGACTATCAGACTATGCTAAGTTTTGGGCGACCGTGCAAATCTGACTACCGCCATAGTCCAGGGTCAGCTAATAATGAAACATTCCTAAAAACCCCAACTTTCCTGTTGATCCAGAGTGGCCTCCTAGGCGATCCTAATAATGGAATAAGTCTGAGAATCAGGCAATTATGAGAATCCTATCTTCATAGTCAGACTTTTTTGGAAGATGTCTATCGTGAGAATCGATCTTATTCTCATGGAATGGACTATCCGGAGAATACAAGCAAATATAAACAGCACGAGCCTCATGTCAATTATAGTGTTTTGATTACTTTTCTGAGAAATAGAGCTATCAAATACCCAGACGTTCCTGTCATGGTCCCAGATACCTCAACAAATAAAGTGCAGATTATCGCAGTGAATCAAAGTAGTTAAGAGTATAAACTATCACCCAAGTGTTTAACTACCCAAATCAAAAATATACTAATGATCCAGACTACCCAAATCAAAACTACCGTGAAAATCAAGTTTTCCTGATGATTCAAACTACCCTGATGATTCAAACTAGCCTGATAATTAAAACTGCCCTCATAATTCAAACTACCCTAGAAATCAAGCTTTCCTGGTGATTCAAACTGCCCTGGTAACAGAAACTACCCTGATAATCAAAAATACCCTGATAATTGAAAATGCCCTGGAAATCAAACTTTCCTCGTGATTCAAACTGCCCTGCGAACTGAAACTGCCCTGAAAATCAAAACTGCCCTGAAAACCAAGCAGTCCTGGAGACACAGAATATCCAAACGGGCCCATTCTCAACACTCTACACCATACAGCCATGCTGCCCAATGATGTTCTGATTTAGATGAATCATGCATACGAACTCGTCTTGGTGTTGGTGCGTCCATTCCAAACAATCTCCTCTCTGATCCATGACTACAAATATCTAGTTACTGAGGCCTTGACCGATCTTCGCATGCAAAGTGGAAATCTATTTTTTCCATGCACTGTGGGCCATCCTGCGAATCAAGCCTTTCTCGCGACCCGAACTATTAGCGTCCAGCAAAAAATACTAGCCTGGCAATCTGCCTACCATACATGCGCTGCGCCGCACCTCAACCAGCGACTGTCTAAAAGGACCGACCTGGAACCGGGCCACCAGCCAGAATCCCATTGAAAACGCCCACGTTTCGAAAATGCCCACGCGGTTTTGGCTTTGCCAGATTGGACCCAGCGAGCTCTCCACGTGACCTGCCGGCTCACTTCCCAATCCCGCCCGATCTCACCTTCTCACCTTCTCACCTTCTCACCTTCTCACCTTCTCACCTTCTCACCTTCTCACCTTCTCACCTTCTCACCTTCTCACCTTCTCACCTTCTCACCTTCTCACCTTCTCACCTTCTCACCTTCTCACCTTCTCACCTTCTCACCTTCTCACCTTCTCACCAATTCTCCACGCACAATTCTCACACACGTTCTCACCAAGTCCACGCTTAAACCTCACTCACGTTCTGGTCCCCACGCATTATTCTCGCTCACCTTCTCACCACAGTCTCACCACCATCTCCACCCCCGGAATCCCATCTATTATACTGCCCAAAATACAGCATGCTGAATGGACGTCCGCAAAAAGAGCCCGACATCAAAGAAACCCCCAGTGAGCCGAAATCCCGGCAGCCCAGCCAGGCCGCCAGCCCGACCCTAAAAGTGGTGCTTCTCGGCGACCTGGGCGTGGGCAAAACTTGTCTCCGGTCACAGTTTGTGCACCACGTGTTCTCCAATGCATACAAGGCCACCATCGGCGGTGACTACTTGACCACGACGGTGCCGGTCGGGCCCGAGGCCGGCGAACCCGGCAAAACCAGCGATCCCGGCGAAATAAGTGATCGCGGCGAGTCTGGCGGATTGAGCGATACCGGCGAAACAAGTGATCCCGGCGAATTGAGTGATCCCGGCGCCCCCCGGGCCGTCAGCTTGCAGGTGTGGGACACCGCTGGCCAGGAGAGGTACAACCTGATTTCACAGGCGTTCTACCGCGGTGCGGACGTGGCTGTTTTGGTGTATGACGTCACCAGCTACGAGTCGCTTCTCAGTGTGCGGGACTGGTTTGCCCGGTTCATGCAGCACTGCCAGGTGGAGTCGCCTGGCATCGTGATTGTGGGAAACAAGCTGGACCGGGCCGGGGACCGGGCCGTGGACCGGCTCGAGGTACAGGACGTGCTCTGTCGAAACGCCGCCGTGCCTCTAGCCGAGCACGTGGGCTGCTGGGCCGAGGATGTCATGGAGATTTCGGCCCGGACCTTGGCTTCGGTGGACGCGGTGTTCCGGCGTGTGGCCGTGGTGGGCTTGGCCAAGATGCACGACCGGCACCACCACCGGTGTGCCGT